TGCGCCTGACCCCATTAACTTTTCCGAAAAAAACTTTTCAACCCGAGTTCCATGTGATTCGCTAACATAAACCTCGAAGATTCTGGTGTAGGTATTCGAGCTTACTAGGACTTGTTTTGGCTTGTAGTGATCCGTGGGGTTGAAGCACTCAAGGTGAAAAACGCGGTAATTGAAATTTCGGCAGCACTTCTTAAGCCACTGTTTGACAGCGGTATGAGGTCTTATTACTAGCATGCACCGATAAAAAGTATTACTTTGTTATAAGTATAAAAAAGCAGACTTTCTTCAGTTTTGAGAAGTTAATCATGCCTGAAAATCTGAGGAAGCAAAAAGTAAATATGAAAAATCATGTGTCCGAATTTTCTCCCGTACCACCCCTACCGTTGGAATAGACCCGAAAGTCTGGACAAAATCGGGTGTAGCGCAAATACCAATCCAGCGATTTTTCATTTCCTAAATCTCTTGAGGGACTTAACCGCGAATGTCTGATATCTGTCTGCTTTCAGTCATCTAACTTCACGGCGGAATTTTCCATCTGCTGATCCCCACCCGCATACTTCAGCTCGTCTATTAGGTGTTCCTTTGCTAATTTGGGAAGGGGAAATGAACGGGACTAAAATCTTGCAAATTGACTTCGAACTTTGAAAGCCAACATTGCGTCTTTTGTTGCACCACTTAATTGTGTTTTTAATATTCATAAAAACTTTATTAAATCTCATGCGTCTTCTCCACTATACTATCAGTTTTTTCTTCAAGCATTGTGCCTTGAAGATGTTGCAGACTTCTCCTAAAATAGCGTGGACTAGGAAAATACTTTGAATCCTAGAAATGTAAACAATGACGGTCCCTTGCGCGCATTTGTGACAAGTATAAACAATATGGGGGCACTCCGTTCGAAATTTATCTACAGCTCAGAACACTGTCGTGGATCCCCTTCAAACAATAGATCAACATATAGGGTGTTTCAAAATCAAGTATACAGTGCTTAATCCTTGATCTAAAACAGGGTTTGAAAGAAAGTTTGGAAAGTTTGGAAAGTTCGCAGCAGGGAAGAAAATTTTCCACATACTGATACTGATCAGGGCATCAGAAGCAAACTGATAGTTACCTTGCTTCTGATGCCTTAGGAGGCTTTTCCTATTTGGACTGTAAAGAATTGTTTTATAACACAAGTGAAGATTTACCGAACGCGTCTTCATAGAATCAGTTCGCAAAGACTTCCGTGGTGTGATACAGTTCACAGAATTCGGCACAACTGTCCTTTTAGGTTTGAAGAGGAGCTCAAAAACTGCTTTCGAGCATTGAAATACATCGATGGTTAAACAAGTACGTTTCGCACCATTTTGACATACTGAAGAATTTCCACGGTAAGCACCAGCGTAATGATCAACATGCTACAAAATGAGACATCATGATAAACTCCGGCATAGACGTTTATCATGCATCCATTATCTATGATCTGGACACTTCTGTTTCTCATGAGTTCGTTGAAAACATAAGTGCAGTAGAGTGAGCCCGAGCACCCCCCATAGATAAGGAGTTCCTCGCTGTTCGTGACTTTCAAAAGTGAAGGGTGTCCAAAAACTGGGATGTTGACCAGGGGCGGTAGAGAGGGTGGAAGAGGAGCTTTGTTTCCCGTTTAGCGTCGGCTATGAGCGATTTGATTTATCTATATATTCCAATTATCCAAATTGCCAATTTTCAAAAACTAACTTCCACTCCTATGTGAGCACTCTCTGCTGTAAATCTGCGCATACAGTTGGTTCAAGTTAAAGTTGAAACCTCATTTGCCAAAATCTGCAGCAATATTTAATTGTGCGGATAGTAATGTAGTAAGCAACTGCTGTGACACAACCTTTATTGTGGTACTTTCGCCAAATGAGAAATTAAACAAATCGAAGCAGTATTCGTTCGGTCAACTGGATAACAAAGAATGTGATAAGGAAGAGGTCATTAGGCATCTTTCTCTGAGGTAAAGAATGTTGTTCGAATAACATCAGAAACATACATAGAATGTTATAAAGACGGTCAAACGCTTCGGCACGCAACAAATTTACATAACCTATATCTGGTTACCCAGCTCAAAGCCAAACAGCAGTTCGAGTGATTATCAATCTCTCAATCAATGAGGGGATGTTTCGATCTAACATACAAGAGACCAAAGAATTGATGGATAGCCCCTAATAAAATTACTAACAATCACTAGATTCTATGATGTGGGAGGAGGGGGAGAGGGAATATAATGTCCTTCTCGTACCTACTGCGCGGGAGACTACGAAAATGCCAAGGGACACCACTCGATAAAGCAAAGCAATCTTTACAAGATAAACATTAGCCATTAACACAAATCAAATTATACCCAACAAGGTCCTACAAAACTTCTACTTGGGCATGCATACAGTAAACTCAAAAATAGTTCCTTTGTTACATGCGAGACCAAGTATCTGGGATTTTGTAGGGTTTTTTGGATTGACGTTTGACTTTTGGGGTACCGTGATCCAAGATCAGGAAAAAAGAGCGTGTGACGAACGCAACCTTCAACGTCTCCCCTGTATGTGAATGTGTGCTGCAAAGCTACGAAAGTACAAGCTGGAGAAAAAGTATGTGTCCTAATGATACAAATAACTTTTTTATTTCTAAACGCAAAAAATTCCAGCAAGTACATTTAAGTACGTTTCTCCATGCGACTGATATGGTCACTAATTTGGGGGTATAAATTTTTTGGCGAAAACTCGGTTTTCGGTGTGAATATATGGTCCTAGTTTCAGTCTTTACGTGGAAAACTATCCGCTTAATAATCGTCCTGTAAAAAAAGCTTTGCCCTATCGGATTGCCCTTTAATTTTTCGACGTTACCCTAGTAGTATGAGAAGAGACTACTTTCTTCGTAGCTTGATACAAAGGCACTTCAGCACAAAAATTAATATTCTAACACTGTGTAGTGTAATAAATTCAATGGTTAATATAGCTTGCGATACCGACTATTTGTGCCATAACTTTGATATGCAACTTGTGCGTGATAATGACGACAGAGTTCACATAAAGTCTGCGAACAGCTAAACTTTACGCGCAGGTGTTGCTGACAGCGCAAGGGCATCTCAACATCACATCAACAAACCTAATTCCTACAATTATGACTAAAACCTAGGTCCCAGGTGCTCCCGAAAATCATAACCGACAGCCTTCGGACTGCGTTAAATCAGGCATAACACCGTCCTTCTTCAATTTGTGCAGAGTTGGTGTCCAGTAATCCTCTGGTAGGTTACGCAATTCTATGACACGCCGTGAATAACGCGGATTGTGGTCCCTAAAAACACTAACATCGTAGCTGGCAAGTCGGCTGCAGTTTTTCTCACCTTCGCCATATTCGCTCCTTTTTAGTACATTGCCAAACAGCTTCGTCCCAATATGAACATTTTCCGAAATATTTACCTATAAAGACAGCGTCATTGGAGATCCCACGTTCTGTTCCAGTATAGCATCATTCTAGGTGAAGTCACGACCGCTGATTGGATGTGGATGAAAAAACATGAGCATTCAAGGCAGCATCCCCTCCAGTTGGT